TTGCATCAAGGTCAAAGGCACGCAGTCTCTGGTTGCGCATGACCTTCCCCTTCTCTCCTCCCTGCCCAAAATTGCCTGTCTCAGATAGAAACTCTCTTCTTTTGTTAGTGGCCTCCAAAACAAAGCGTTTGACTCTTGAGGTTTGGTTTGCACAGCAGATAGTGGTTCTTATATGGCAGAAAAACTATTAAAAATAGTGAGTTAGCAGAGCAACAGTTACGGAAATAAGTGTTATTTGTGTGAAATGGAACAGGCACAAGTGGCAATCCGTAGAGTTTTCTGGTAAAATCTTAACAGGCAGAATTTCTTGTCTTGCATCCATCCACCCGTTTATTTCACAGCTGTTTTGGAGGGATCTTGGCCCTTTTGTCTTTCCTGAGCATCCTTGCTTAGGCTGATGAGCCTGTATTCGTGAGGTGCGAGAGTTTAGTAGAGCAAGCCAACTCGGTGGAGGAGTCAGTGAGGTCCCAGGAAATGAGGAATTCAGATGGATTTGAAAACATTTAGTCTGACTTCTAAGAAACCTTTGATCTGAAGGAGTAATCTAGATGTTTCTCTTTCTTCCCCTCTTTCTCTCCCATCCCTTTCCTTTATCTTTCTCTTCTTAGGTCTTTTTTCCTTTTGGGGGGAGGGAGGAGGATATTCAGTGAAATATAAATAAGCTTTGCTCTTGCTTTGATGTCCTTTGATTCTCTTCCCTTTGCTGATGTTGCCACATGACTCTCGGGTAAGGTCATACATCAAAGAAGGAGCAGACCGTTACAAGTGAAGCTGTGTGGCCCAGGAGAGCAGCGCAGCAGCAGCGAGGGGAGCTGTAGCTTCAGTCCTGTCTCTGCCACCCTTTCTCGGGTCGCTACCTTGCACCTCCCTTCCCTCATCCATAAAAATCACAAGTGCTTTGTGATCTGCAAGGCAGACTTAGTACATTTGCCACAGTTTCTGACAGCGGCGAGGGCAATACCGTTGACTTCTGCCCCCTTCTCTCGCCTTTTAACCAGTTTTGACTGGATTTCGTGCAGGGGCAGAAGTTTCAAAGATAACTAATTTTCTGCAAGTTTCATAAAAATGGACGACCAGGAGGATGGGGGGACCTGGTGTTTGGACAGTCGCATGTTTGTCTCTAATAACGTCTGGTCCCAACTGCAGTCAAACACAGCAAGCCGTAGATCAGAGCCAAAGGACTGTGGGAGGACGACTGTGAGGAGAAACAGAGGGGAATTTTGAGGGAATATGTGGAAATAATTGAGAATATTCAGTGTATTCCAGTTTATAAAGGTCAGTGAGCACGAATTCATAGAAAACCAGGTGCCATTTGTTCCCTTGCTCATCCCCTTGCTTATTGCAACAGAAGAGGAGATGGTGGAAACCCACAGCTGCGTTGTTATTGTTTCTTTTCTTCGCCTGTAGTTTTAAAACTAGTGTGGTCATAATATTAGCTGACCTGTGAAGTGGTCCTGCAGGTGCCTTGTAAGTAATGCCAGCTTGTGGAAACTCGAATTTGAAACTGGTGGAGAAGTGCAAAAGCTGGTTTCTTTTCCAGGCAAATCGGCGCTGTTCCCGTGGAAAGGAGCACGCTGCTCGCTTGGACAGAAACCGACCGCCCTCTGCCTTCCCCAGCTCTTCCCCTCGCTTTGGCCACGGCAGCCTCTGACCAGCTGCTGGGGAGCCCCGAAGCTCGGCACAGCAGAAACGCCGGAGCTGCGTTCCCGCAGTCTGGCCCATTAAGGGGGTTCCCATGTGGAAAGGGATGCGATCGTACCGTGGTAGACTGTGTTACGACTCGTGTTTGCGAGGGGGCTGCCCAGCCCTAAGGAGGCCGCTTTTAAGTAAGCGGAGGGGCACGATGCGGGAGCATCCTGCTGGGCGCAGTTGGCTCAGAGGTGCTAATGCTTTGGGAAGTGACAGCTACAATGTTGGTGGTTCCAGGTTAGCGGGAAATGGCGCTTAATAGTCCTGACCAAGCCAAATGCTTAAGGCATGTATTTGGCTTTAAGCATGCGGACAGCCCCGTCCCTCATTAGCGGAGCAGGAAGGTGGCTGCGATCAGGAGAGCACCCGGGCGCGTACGCCGCGACGTCCGTAATCCAGCCTCTCCTCTGGGCTCTCCGTTTATCGTGTTAACGGCTTGTGTTCAGCGAGAGCCTTATCGGCTCAAGTGCTGCAGGAGCTGATGTGCAGAGAATTGCTTGGCGCTGTGTTTGGAGTACGTGGGGCTGGAAGCTGGCATCCCAGCTCTTGCTCCCCGCTGAAGCTGCTTCTCCTGTCAGTATGTGGTTTTGTTTTTCCAGATATGCGTAGTGGGCAGCTCTGTGATGGGTACAGTAGCAAAAATATGCTCTAGAGATTTAGACAGTATATATGCACCTAGAACTGGTTAAGTTAGCTTCTGCTTTTGAAGAAGCTGTTTCTAGCTGTCATGCCAGGGCACAAAGGAGTAGGTTCAGGGACAGCAGTGAGGTGGTTTGAACTGTCCACTGAGGACTACTGCAATGGGATTTTACTCTTTCATTAACGTCTGGTGTTGTTTGTTGTTTTTTGTTTTGTGTGTGTGGCTCTGCTGGGTGCTGGACACAGCTCATCGCTTACAGACTTCGCAATGAGAAAATCTGTGTTTGATCAGACACGAGATCTCTAATTCAGATTCTCCATTTAATATGAAATGAACGCAGGTCCTTATTCCCTTATTTCCCAAGTCTCCACTTTCCGTCCTGCTCTAGTTTGTATCTCCTGGTGCCGGCCCCCTTTCTCTCCCCTGCCAACCCAGGGACTCTTTGAGTGGGAAGGATGAGTTTCCTGCAAGGCCCGGAAGTATTAAAAATCCAGATCCTGCCTGATCAATAGTAGCAAATCAGAGTCAAGGACTGATTAGAAAAGGTATTTTGCCAAAGATGTGTTTCACCAAAGAGGCCGCTGACAGCTGTTATGGGTACAAGAGGAGACTCGGTGCTCTGCCAGCTATTTCCAGAGCTGCACCATCTTTGCTGTAGTCGGCAACTCTTGGCTGTAAGCTACAGCTTTACCAGTCTCAAGGACCCAGCAAACCCTTGCTGCTAGAAGCAGCTGGTGTGCCTGCTCAGGTCGATGCTGCAGTACGTATGCCATGAACCCAGGGCAGATGGGATTTCCTGCCCAGGTGGTGTGGAGCTGACTGACGTATACAGAGCGCTTTGCGGTTAGTACATCTGTTGCAGGGGATGCCCTGGATCAGCTGGTTTTGAACAGTGTTGGTGCATCTGCTTTGATAGGGAGCAAAGACCTTCCTTTGCCACAGTACTGAAAGCCTGATGTATGGGTTAAAATCGGTGCTTCTGGGGAAAGCAGTCTGCTAAACACGGCTGTGCTGGGCTCTCTGCATGATGCGTCACTCCCCAGCTGGATAGCTTCGTTTTGCACTGGCTCAAACCTCTACGTGGCCCAAGTGCCTAGCAGAGAGATTTGATGGTAAATGAGAGAAATGACTCTGCTTGGGTGACCTGCACTGTCACAGTATTGGTTAGCTGAGCCAGTGGAAATGTAACAGCACTTACAAGCTGTTTCAATACTATTTCTTAATCCATAAATAAGCATTAAAGAAACTTTTTTTGATTCAAGTGTAGGTAGAGCTTTTCATTCTTCCCTATCTCATGCCAGTGTGAAGCCACTGGAGTCGGTGCCAGCGAACTGAGGTTAGTCTGATTTTTCTCTGTACGTGAGAAAGCAAAACCAAAATTTGGAGGTTGCTGTTTCGTTATTTTTGCTTATGTGTTTTCTGGTTGTTTGGCTGGTTTTTCTGCTCTTTGAGTGAATTTTTGTTTGTGTTTTAAGTCGACCTCACTTCTAGGCAGTGCTGGACGTCTGTAGCTTCCCTCAGTTTCAAGAGTTCAGTTCCTCAGCATCTCTGAAAACCAGCCAGTGTTGCCAAGCACAAGACAGTTTCAGAGGGGTTTTTGTCCTTCTAACAGTTCCTGTTGTTTTGCAGGTGAAACTTAGCGACATCAGTTTTTTTGGATAGATAAAACAGTTGCGACAATCAAATTTCCCCCCATCTCTCTCGCACACACCACCACCACCACTCCCAAAAGAGCGCGAGTTGATCATAACTTATATAGCGTCTGGGTTTTTTTGCTGACTGGTGTTGAAGTCGAATCTTCTTAAAAACACTTTTTACAAAGTGCTTACATTTGGGAGCCTCTACCATTGCTTCAACATGTGAATCATGTTTTAAAATTTTGATTTCTTTTTTCTTTAATTCTATAGAGTCGAGTGCACAGGTGAGGACTTGATGAGAATAACAGCAGGACACAGAAAGGGACCCTATTTAAAAGAGATCTAGAGGCTTCTGGTAGCTGCCTTTGTCAATATTCAGTGAAAAGCGGTGCTTTTAGGAAACTTTAGTTCAAGAAGAGAGTTGTAGCAGGTCTGTAGAGGCCTGTCATAGCTGGCTGTTACCTCTTTGAAGTTATCTCTAGTCAAGGCAGAGCTTTGAAACTGTTGGTTTGTATTAACTCTTCTTTCTCCCTTTTGTTTTGCAACTAAGGCAGGGCCCTATAGTTTTATTTAGAAATCACCCGTCATTAGTAACCACAATCATTTGGTAGGCATTTACAAGGTAAGTGACAGTGAGAAGTAATTAAGTTTACTATAAATCACACTCAATTCCAAATCTGCAGGCTTCAAAATAATAATTAATAGAAACTGTAACTTCTAAGAAAAGATATAGGATTTATAGCAGCATCTGTATGCAGCAACTGTATATTTTGACTGACTAGTAGGGATTAAAATCCAATGTCTGATCTTCTTATTTGTTTCAAAGCCATTTCCTACCTGTGGTGCACTTCACTGTGAGTTATCCACTGCTTTTTATTCTTTGTGGGCAGATTTTTACCTCTTAAATTCATTAGGAAGAAAGAGCTCAGCGTTGTCCAGACTGGTGCTGTAAAAGCACATGTCTTGAGCTGCGGCTTTCTGCTAAATACATGTTTTATGGATCAACGCCTAACGCCATGTGCTTTGTTTCACAGGTATCATGCAGCCGATAGGTTTGCTATTGAAGCTGATGGTCACAGCCAGCGCGGAAATGCTTTATTAAACAAAGTAGGGTAAAATAATCCTGGAAGGTTGGAGCCGTTTGCGAGAAGTTCCAAGTTTATTGCTCCCCCTGCCAGAAAGTTGCCATCCGGGACAGCAGCACACTGCAACCAGCTGCCATGGCTAGCAAGAGAAAGTCAACGACTCCGTGTATGGTGCGAACTTCTGAAGTAGTGGAGCAGGAAGTTGCTGAGGGCCAAGAAACTCCTAAAGAAAAGAGGGCTGCCACACCGCAGCAGGACTCCAAAAAAAGTCGGCCTGCAGAAAGCTCAGTAAAAGATTGTGAAGTGGTTGAGGCAAAGCCGCCAACTGAAAATCAATCTAAGAAACCCCAGGGTGGTTATGAATGTAAATACTGCCCTTACTCAACACAAAACTTAAATGAATTTACAGAGCATGTTGACACTCAGCATCCAAATGTCATTCTCAACCCCCTGTATGTCTGTGCTGAATGTAACTTCACAACCAAAAAATACGATTCCTTATCTGACCACAACACAAAATACCACCCAGGAGAGAGTAATTTTAAATTGAAATTAATTAAACGCAATAATCAAACTGTTTTGGAGCAGTCCATTGAGACCACCACCAACAATGTCACTGTCACTAGCAGTGGGCTAGAAAATGCAGAGTGTGATGACCCGCTTCATGGGGGGATTAATGCAAGTAAAACCCCAATGATGAAATTGGGAAAGCCTAAAGTGGACACCAAGAAGGGTCCCAAAAAGCCAGAAGAGGGCCTTATGGAAAACCATGTGGATGGGACTCTCCCTCGCATCATAACTGAAGCCACTGAAGCTATTGCTTGTATAAATGGAGACCTTCTCCATGATGTGTTAGCTCACGTTATGCCCTCTGTACAGCTACCACCAAATATTAACCTTGTCCCCAAGGTCCCAGTACCTCTGAACAGTACCAAATACAACTCTGCACTGGACACTAATGCAACCATGATTAACTCCTTTAATAAGTTTCCTTACCCAACACAAGCGGAGTTATCGTGGCTGACAGCAGCATCGAAACACCCGGAGGAGCAAATCCGAATCTGGTTCGCTACTCAACGTTTGAAACATGGTATAAGTTGGTCTCCAGAAGAAGTGGAGGAGGCAAGAAAGAAGATGTTTAATGGTACTATCCAGGCAGTTCCGCAAACCATCACTGTCCTACCAGCTCCTTTGACAACTGCAAAAATGCCGCAGCCTATCATCCAGACAGCTTTGCCTTGTCAGATACTGGGCCAAACTGGTTTGGTTTTGACTCCCGTGTCAAATGGTTCAGCAGTTTCTTGTTCACCAATTACGCTTGCTGTTGCCCCTAACCAGGGGCAAAAGAGAACGATACAGACACTATCAAACATCCCAGAGGCCAAGCGTCCGCATGTTGTTCAGGTGCCCGAGGTTCCTGCCAAGTTGACTGCTGCACCACTGACGCCAACAAGTGAGCGAAAAAAGACGAAGGAGCAGATAGCAGAGCTGAAGGCCAGTTTTATGGCAAGCCAGTTTCCTGATGATGCAGAAATCTACCGGCTGATAGAGATGACGGGTCTCTCCAGGAGTGAGATCAAGAAGTGGTTCAGTGACCACAGGTACAGAAGTCAAAGGGGCGTTGTGCACGTGAGTAATGACTCTTTAGCAAAAGATCAAATAACTTCAATTGGTCGATATGGCCGTTCGTTCCACCCATATGCAGATTTTACACCCCAGAGATTCAAAGAGAAAACCCAAGAGCAGCTTAGAGCTCTTGAAGAGAGTTTCCTAAGATGCTCTTTTCCAACCCAAGGAGAATTAGACAGGCTTCGAGTGGAGACTAAATTGAGTAGGAGGGAGATTGATTCATGGTTCTCCGAGCGGAGAAAGATAAGGGACAGCATGGAGCAAGCTGTCTTGGACTCAATGGGATCATACAGAAAAATTAAAGATCAAGGAACCCATAATGGTGCAATAAGCCGGGCAGAACTGCTGAACAGCTCCCAGCTACCTGGCTCTTTATCTGGGTCCTCTGCCACGTTTAAAAAAACCCAAGAGCAAATTCATCTACTGAAAAGCACATTTGCAAGAACCCAGTGGCCGTCACCACAGGAATATGACCAGTTAGCATCTCAGACTGGGCTCACAAGAACTGAAATAGTTCGCTGGTTCAAGGAAAACCGGTCTTCGCTGAGAACGGGGTCGCTTAAATGGATTGACCAGTACCAACAGCAGTATGTTGCTGATGGTCATAATGAGCAAAACCAGAAAAGGGGATCAAAACGCACTGAGAGCTCAAAGAATGGTAACGAGGTGTCTCGGCAGCGTTACCAGGAACATAAAAAACTGAACGAAGAGAACGAGGGGAAACTAGTTGTGAGGTCAAAAAGAGACTGTGAACCACTCAAAGACTCTTTGTTGGGCAATCAAGCGGAGGGTGCAGACAGGTTGGAGTGCAACAGCCACGACGGCCATGGCAGCGAGGAGAATGAGGAGCCAGCAGATGTGAACTGGGTGGAGGTGACAGTGGGCGAGGATGATGCTGCATCAGACTGTACAGATAGCTGGAGTCAAACAGCACCTGAAGGCCAGGCAGAACTGGCAGACTTTGATTCTGAAAGTATATCTGGAGACAATTCCCACGTATAGACAGGTAACACTGCTGCTGCCCTGTTCCTCTGAGCCAGCCTCAGCTTGGTTGTGCTTCCAGTATCCAGTAGCCCCTTTTTCGGTGTCAATCCAGGGAGCCCATGCCTGCTGGATGCTTGAACACAAGGGAGACCCATCCTGATTTTAAATTAAAGTAACCACGGCAGGGGAGCAGTTAGCACTGTTCGCTTTGTTTCTCATCGTCTTGTGGGTCAGGTCCTGGATAAGGCAGAACTTAACTGGAGTAAGCGATAAACCCTAAACTTTCTGCCTTTAAATGACGTGTGCAACTTCTGCGCAGCTTGATGTAAAATACGCTAATTGAGCATGTGAAGAAATAGGCGGTAACCCTACTCACTAATGCCCATCTTGCTAACAGATATAATTATCTCCTGTGAATAGATGCTCTAGCTGTTTTTTGTACCCTGGGTGAAGCCTTTGCAGTGTCTTGACCTGCTTAGGAAAAAAAGGTTACTGGGGGAAGGGCCCAGGACAGAGATGTTTCTTTATGCAACAGCAAGCAAAAGAAGTTGTGGGGGCTGAAGTGGCTCATGCAAATGTGCTCTCCTCCTCTTGCAGGTGAGAACTCTCTCCAACTTTGCTTTGTTCTGCTTGCTCAGAGTAGAGGTTTAGGAAATGCCCCAGACTAAAGCATGTGAGTGTTTTAGCAGCTCTTCACAGGAGCCTAAATTTAAAAGCCAACTGCAAGGCTTTGTTGAAGGGAGTTTGTACAGTCTCCCAGAATGTGAAAGGACGTGTTATTGGAGGCCTGAAGCCTATTTCTGATCACAGTTGGGTATAAACCTGGAGCAAGCACCATCAGTTTCTCTTGACTTGCCTGCTGAATTGAGTTTACTGGAGCCTTTAACGTTTTATGCTTGGTATAACTGTGATCAGAATCTACATCTCTCAGGCTGGAGTCTACTCAAGCTAGAAATTATCCAATGGAAAACGCTACACAATGCATTAACAAATACAGGGAATGCATATTTTGGGAAGAATTAGTGGTTCTCTGTTATCTAATAAGGAGAAATACTGAAGAGTACTTTTGGAAAAAAAAAAAAAAAAAACCCCGCACATGTGTGCACACACACACGCGCACACACGCGCACACACACACACAAACCCAGAGCTGACAGAAGTTCCTCTATGCCTTCAAAGCCTTCTATTATTGCGGCTTTGCAGTACTTGAGTTGAACCATTAAATGTTGTGGCAGTGCAGTTTTCCTTGCAAGCCATGCTGGCTGGCCAAGAGCTCTCTAATTTCCCCTTGTGAAACACTTATCCAAAAGTCTCCTGAACATTTTCTCCAAGTTTAAAAAGGAAACACTCCAGTAGCTTTGAACTGGAAATCGTATAGACTTTAATTTTGAGAAACGTCACAGCATCTATACTGCAAAGTGTTTTACAGCCAGACAGCAGTATGACACTTTGTCCTGTATTATGCTTGCAGAAGTTGGTAGTTATGGGTATAAGGAACAGGTTGTGTGTTACCACATTGGCAAACACTGAGGTTAAAGGAGGAAGGACTTGGGCATGGCATCGAGAGGTGTCGTCTTCCAGCCCCTGTAGCACATTGCTCTCTTTGGGCTGCCTCAACTGTTTCGGAAGCCATGTCCAAAATTAGAGCTGGGAAGTGATCTGGCTCTTAAAACCAAATGAGCAACAAACAAAATATACTGTAAGATTTTTATTCCCCTGCCAAGATTGCTATTCCGGATCAGTTCCCTGTTCCAGCTATGAGTTTTTGCACTAACATAATGGAGGAGAGGCAGCATGCCATGGGCTAGGAGTGGGAATGGGGGTGGGAGGCTAGGAGAGAGAGGGATTACTTTATAACACCCTTATTTTTGCCTCAGATGCTTTGTACTGTGAAACCAAGCTCTGTTGCAACCTTATTCCAGCAGCATAGGTTTGGTGCCTGTGTTTTTAGTGTCTGTGGGCAGCGTAGGGTATGCTGTGGTCTGAAACTTCTGACTTTGAGCCTCAGCGCAGGTACTGGCCATAAACCTCCACTGCTGTAGAGATGTTTGTGATCAGAGAGAAATTTTATTAAAAATTTTGGTCTCAGTTGAACTTTCATCACTTTATCTTTTTGATGAGGTGGTTTTTTTCAAATGGCTGATTACAAAATATGCTTCCTGAGAAGAGATGCGCTGGAGGGAGACTTTCACAGTGTAGATTACTCGAATAAGATCAGAGGATCACTTTGTCCTCTGCTCTTCACCCCTTTCTTAGCACGCCAGTTTGGGCCCTTGACAAAAGTCTGTTACCTAGTTTGTTTTCCCTTCGCTTCCTTGTAACTCTCAGCCCAAAACTGTGATTATCTGCCCTCTGGTGAATGCATGGGAGGCCCCAACAGGCAGCCGCTGCTGCAGGCGCGTTGACGTGGAAGCCAGAAGCTTTATACCCTGCCACTGAGGGGAGCCTTGGCAAAAATCCCTGCTACCAGCTCCAAGCAGCCAGGCACGCAGGAGGAGCCAGAGCTTCACACGCCACGAGTGTTGGCTGCAGTTTCAAGTAGGCATTAAACAAAGTGCCCGTTTCCTTCAGGATAAGCCCTTGCTCTTATTTTTGTGAAACATGGCTGTCTTACCTATTTTTTTTTTTTTTAAACAAGAACTTCAGTGTTAACTAGCAGTTATCTTGAAAGACAGCCGTGGTATGACTTGAAAGCAAAGACCATGTGAGACCTGAAGGAGAGCTTATTTTTGCTGAGTTGGCAACTTCCCATGTGTTATGCTCTCACATGAAAGTGATCTTCCTGCTGGTGGAGCCCTCAGTACCTTAGAGGGGCTGTGTTGCTGTCCTGGCCTCAGATAAGTAGCGCTGCAAAGTACTGAACAGCTAACAGGGGACTCTTCCTCGTCTCAGCTTTCACACAGCTGAAGTCATTATGTGAAACTTTCACTGCTGAACTTTACATCATGCACAAATGTAGGCCTTTGATATTCGTGATGTTGCTAGTTTCTCAGCTTGATGTATGTACTTTAAAGTGAAGATCATTCTCTGTTCAGTCTTGATACTTCTCTTGTTGGCTGCATTCATGTGTAGCTTCTGTAAAATGTGAAATGTTCCAGAACTTCTCAGGTCCCTCTTAACTCGGGCATGTAGTTTTAGGAGTTTCTGGAACTGTTAGGGAATACTTCATTATAGCCGTGATGGACACAAAATAGGAAATGAGATTTCCCCTTAGGAAATGGGATTTTTTCAGAACTGCTCTGTGGTCCTCAGACTCTGCGTCTACTGAGTCCAGTGGGAGTTTTGGTGCTGCCTGACCTCAGTGAGAGCAGAATTTGCTCAACGCTATGAAATAATGGCTATAGACCAATAGAAGTATCTGTCAGAGTCTGTTTCTGCCCGTTTTACTCTGATTTTGTCAATAACTTCATTCCACAGAGTAGGATCACATTCCTTAGGCAGTAAGGCTGCAAGACCTGTCTCCCTAAGGTACCGGGGCCTTCAAGATGTGCCTGGTGCCTGTAAGGTACATTGAAGTCATCACTAAAAATGCTCCATACGCTGATCCTAAAGCCTCCCCTCCTCCTTGTTCAATCTGTACGGTGTTGGAGCTCCATTTCCATCAATAGTGATATTCCTGACTTCCAACAGCATGGGTCAAAACCAGGTCTGTTGTCACCATTTGTGCAAGCCTGCTGGACAGAAATTGGGCCTAAATTAAATACAGCAAATTACAGCTCAGACGTGAGAGTGGGAACGGAGAATACCAGAGCAGTTGGCAGTTACTGCTGGCTTTCTTCACAGTGCTGTCTCCCAGGGGGGGTTTCCCAAGATCAGTATTTCTTCAAAACAGAACTTTTTCTCAGAAACATACACTCCTTCCCCCCACCCCCCATCCCTGACATAAACTTTCTTGTTTCGAGTTGTTCCCATGACCGCCATGGCAGGCCCAAAGCCTGGGAGCTGCAGCCACCTCGCTGCCTTGCTCGCGGTGGGGACGAGCTCCCTCCGTGCCTCTCTAGCTGGGAGCTGCTTCCACGTGTGCTCGCCGCCCCAGGCCGGCTGCTTGGCCGCGGTCTCCTCGCTGCAGTTGTGTGGAGCTTTGTGGAGATCTGCCACAGGAAAACAAAAAACAATCTGCACACAATAAAAAAAAATGTCCCCCAAAAGTCACTCCTTGCTTCCTATGTAAGTGTCGTACTGAGCATCAAAGACTGTCTGGGCCCTCTTGCTGTCTTCAGCTCCTTTTGTACCGTGGCGGGAGCTGAGAGTGCTCTGTTTCTCATGTGGCCTAACGCATTCCTCGCTGTCTGCAATTGGTGACAGCTAACAACACTGGGCTTCCCCTCCCTTCCTGCCCAAGTTCTTGTTTTTCTTGTGGTTTAGGGTTTAATCCTTAAAGCCAGCTGTAGTGCCTGTTCCTGTTGTAGGGCTCCATCCTGAAGTTGGTGTGGGATTTACCAATGATCGCAGCAGAACTCAGGTCAACCTAGACCATCACAGGACTGAGCCCGAAGTATGGGCAGCTTGCCCTTTCCCCTAAAAACAGTAAGGCTGTCAGAGAGCCAAGCTCTGAAGCAGTGAAGCAATTCAGGGAAGGCAGCAAAACTCAATACAGCAAATACAAATTACCAAGGAGTTGGGATGGCAGGGGGGAGCCTGCAGAGCGTGGGATGTTTTTGCCCTAGGTGTGCCTGCAAGCCCATGCCCTTTTACTGGCCTTGACTGCTTTGCTTCCCGAGTTGCAAATGCCAGAGCTCATTGCTTCATGGGAAATAGCAGTGCTATTAGCAACATTAACAGGTGCTGTGAAACGCTTAGGTAGCCCAGGTTTCTGTGAGCCTTGGTGCGGGGTGAGTGTGGAAGACGGTGCAGGAAACGTAGCTCTTGCTGCTGCCTGCAGCTTCAGCGTGAGCAGCTGCTTGCGCTTGCACACTTCACTCAAGCGGAGGTATGTGCAGAGACAAATGGCTGTTGTAGTGCCCTGGCCACGTGTCCCCATCTGATCGATGCCGAGAACTGGGTGTATGCGTAGGCAAATGAGTATTTGAGGGAGTTTTTTAAGCACTGGTCCCTCGTGCAGCCTTTCCTTCGGTGCAGGAATCATAGGAGGGCCCCGAGTCGCTCTGTGCAGCGCAGAAGAGTGTGCTTTTTTCCCATTGTCTTGAGGTTTGTGTAATTCATTTTTAAACCCACGCTAAAAAATGTATAACGGGAGGATTTATGGGCAAAAAAGGACCTGCAGTCTTCTTGCCTTTAGCACTATCTGTTCCTCTTCACAAAGGAGCTGCCTCCAGCCCTTGTGCATAAAATCGTCTTTGAACAACCATGAGAATCTGTGCAATTTATAGAGTAATAACAAACCAGCGGAGGGTCCAGGCCAAGCTCTATGTCCCTATTAGAAATCTGTGGGGAGGTATTAGCTGCGTGTTGTATGCAACAAAACATCTGGTGCCCTACTGCAGGGTCAAGCTGAGAAATGGGTAAGCTTCAGGGTATGGTTAATAGAAAATACAGTGCTACTGCATGTACGGGGAAGTAAATGAAATGCTTTCACTTGGCAGTGTCTTTAAAAGTAACGTTTCTTTTTTAATTTTTGCAGGGGTTCTGATCGGCTGCACTGTCCTGACAATGAAGGGGAAACACTGTTTGAAAATAGAAGAAAAATCTGTTTTCCTGCCTGGGGTGAGATAGAGCATTGCAACTCCAAGTCTCAAACTGCGCTTGCAGAGGCACAGCGAGAGATACTTTTGTGGAGCATCATCATGGGATTGTTTATAGTGCCAAAGTCCTACTACTGCATTAAAGAGAAAAGAGAGAGCGAAAAAAGGATCCCTGTATATAGGTTTCTCCTTTGCTTCCTCTCCCACCGACTTTCCTGCCCAGCCTCTTCCTATACTGGAGCAGATTTGTACAATGTGGAAAGTTTGTTAATTTTTTAATCGGTGCAAGTTATTCTTGCATGTCATGCCATTGCAAAATTTTAGGGTTGGTTTGGGGGAGGGAGGTGTCTTTTGTGGGAAGGGCAGGGGAGAGGAGGGCTTTTTTGGTGTTTTAAGAAACATTTGGAATCCCTTTGGTGCGGATCAGCGCCTGGTCCCAGATTCCCACCCCAGCAAAGGGGTTGTTCTGGTTTAGTTGGGGGCGGTTGTTTCAAGGCTTTTTGTTTTGTTTTATGGCCATCTGCTACCAGTTGAAGTATTTAAATCTCTGCTTTTCTGTGCTCCTATGAAGCGAGTCTTTTCCAGCTCCTGTACTTCACTTTTCACAAACCAGCACAGGCCATGGTTTTTTGAAGATCTTGCTAGAATGCCTTTTTTTTTTTTTAGCACTTTTTGTTTAAACGTGCAGTACAACCCCCAGAGGGGTTGCAGTGAGGAAATTAAGATGCTTCAAAATCTGAACTTGTGTTTCTTTGGTTGGTACAAAGATGGACAATATAAACAAAAGTCTGCCCTCCAGCTTTAGATGTTGTAGCGCACAAAAGAAATTCCTGATTAACCCTTGCCACTAAATTTTTAGATCAGTTCTAGATTCCCGAGTGCACTTTTTTCAAATAATGCTAATTTTCTTTGTGTGGGGGTGTCTGTGCGTGCATGTATGAAGAAGAAAAAGAGGAGAGTGCATATGTGCGTGTGAGGGAAAGCGCGTGTGAGAACTGTGTGACGTGCTACTCTGACTAGCTGTGTTTTGAAAACTTACCCATATTTCAGTACACTGCAAAAATATAATGCTATGGAGTTTGAATAAATCCAACTTTTCTAACTTGTTGCTCATTTGTTGTAACTCAATAAAACAAAGGCTAAACATTTTGGTAACCTTTTTCTCGTGTCTCTCTTTTTTTTTTTAATGGAAAGCAGAAATCAGCCCCCACCAACTCTGCATTGTACACAAGAGCTCAGTGTCTTTATAGCTGCGATTAAGGTTCTAACTGGTTTTGCAGCAATCGGCTTGGCAAACACTAACCAGATTAAAATGAACTCAGTGAACTACTGATTTTCTTTTTCCCCCCCGATGTTAGAAGGTAGTTTCCCTCTCTAGGGGCTTAGATAGCTGGGAAGGGGGGTCCTTGCTCCCCACACATCCGTGGGCTCTCTGCAAGGTCTCCGGTGGGGAGCGCGGCAGTTAATGCAGTACCAGCAGGGTGAATGTGACTGAGTCCATGGTGGGACTGGTGTGAAACCCTGGCCTGGCACAGCTGGGGGAGTGTGCATGTACCCCTGGTTTTATTTCCTCTGGAGAGCTCAGCAAAAATAGGAGCAGGATCCCAGGTTTGAACTGGGATCAAAGACAGGAGCTACATGTGCTGGAAGTTAAAAGTTCAACGCTTGGTTGGACTTGGAGGGTACCTTTATTTTGGTTGCGTTCAGAAATCAGATGAATGAAACCTTCACTGAGACTTACCAATAAGGAGTTACTTTTGCTAATCATCTGCACAGCATTTAAGTGCCAGAGGAGGTTTACAGTTGGTGGAGGTTTACAGCAGAGACCCCTTTCAGACTTCAGCTTTCCAAAAAATAGAGTTGTCTTGTTCATTGTTGAAGGGGAGTGAGTCACCTCCCACTGTCCTCGAGCATGCATAGGGCTGGATCGTGCTGTCGTGTTCCCTGCATATCATGAGCAAAATCTAGGGGAACAACCTCAGCTTTTAAATATGCAAACGCAGTCTGTCAGGGAGCATGTACATGAGTTATGCCATTGATCACAACAGGTCTAATCATGCACCGTGCTTTGAGCTACAGGTCATGCAACCTAATCCTCCATACGTGGAGCCTGTTTCCTGTGCAGTCACACACACACGCACACACCCTCTCCCCTACACCCACCCACCGACCCCCTGTGTGGTTTGTTAAGTCAGTAGGTGAATGTGTCATGTGGCAAAAAAATAAAAAATAAAAAATAAATTCCTCTGATGAGGTCTCCTCCAGGACTGGAAAGTTGTAATGGATGCTTATTGCCACTTCTGTCTGCTTTGCTTGCATGAAAGGATGCTAATATATTAACTACCCTCGAGTACAGTTTTTAACAACCACTTAGCAACTTAATATTCCAGTTTGCATCTCTTCTTGTATAGTGTGCACATATGTATGTATATCTGGAGCACTGACCTATTTTGCTTAACTAGCAACACTCCCATTGGTCACAGTAGGCATTTTAGGAAGAACAAGATGCACCTGGGTTTTCTGTATTTGCACAGCACCATACACAATGGGATTGTGGACCGTGACTCAGGCTCTTTTAGATTGCTGCAATACAAATGCAACAATAGCAGTAGCCCTGGAGTTTGTGATTGCATCGATAATGTTGATCCTCTCCCAGAACAAACTTGCTTGCAAAAGCATGACATGGCTTTTGCCAGAGTCCTCTGTAAAAGTTGGCAGTATGGCAACAGCGAAGAGGTCTGTGTAGGCAGGTTATGGTAAGATATCAAGCCTTCAAATGTAAGGTTTCACCAGGGGAAAAAAAAAAAAAAACAATCCAGTTTCCCTTTCTGGTTAAATCATCCCAGCTCTGCACAGCGATTGCTTTACTGTGGATGTCTGAACAAGGTTACAAAATAGGTATTGCAAGTAGGCTTTGTTTTTAATTAATAACGATGCAGAGACTGCATGTCTGTGAGGTTCCAAGTATCGAGGCACAATCAGAACATTGTTTGTACTCTGCTGTGATTAGGGAATGTATTTGGGTTCGGGGCTACATTGCATGCTGGTGAAACTAGTCTGCTGCCACAGGGTTTTGTCATTCATTACTTTGTCTCATCCAGTGCAGAAGCCAGACATTTTCTCCGTTGTTTATTTTTGAGAGCAGTGTCCTCCAGCCAGCTAAGCCTTGAAAGTGAGGAGCTTGCTTGAGATATCCTCCCGGTGGGATGCGAGGCTGCTCCTCAGCCTCACTAACACCACAAACTGTTCCTCAGGACCACAATTTGCTGGCGTGCGGGTTGTGACTGACATCTTTCATATGTTCTTTTAACATAAGTAGTTTCTCAATTTTTTTTTTTTTAATAAGAAGAAATCTAGTGAACACACACACAAAAATCAGTTTTTGCACTTTTTACAGTGCCTAAGAAAGTCCAACACTTGGAAGCTAGGAACCACTTGACTTAGGTGGCCTGTACTTCCTTAATTTGCTCTACTTGTATACTGACAAGAGGATAGTTTTTCTTTGTATACAGATGCTATTTTTCCTTCCTTGTTCATAAGCTGAGGGGATGGATGCTGTTCAGCAAATGAGCAGCTGTTTGTTAGCCTCTTACGGCACAGTTATTCAGGCTCTGCTTTGAAAATAGATTTAGTCTTTTTTATTTTTTCCTTCAGGTTTTTCTGTTGCTCATGCTGCTGCATCTCAGCACCTCACCAATAATAAAGAGTCAGTTTCCAGAATAACTAGTGATAGGGTGTCTGGATATTGTCCCCATCTTACAGAAACCTGAAGGTCCTTCTAACTTGAGAGTAGCACCACAGGTGTTTGTTTGTTTTTGTTTTCAGCGTGGTTGGCATTTTCTAGCCTTTTTTTCCATGTACAAAACAGTGTTCCCACCGACTCCGGCTGCAGCTCATGCATGCGCCTTGCCTACCAAACAGGTCCCACGTGTTCACATCCAGCACCCAGAGGAACAAATGATTTAAGGCTCAGCCAAGTCACATTTGAGGCCACATTGCAATTAGTGCCCTCCCAGACCCACGTAGAAGGTGGGAAGACTAAAACCCACCCTTGTCCTCCTTGGTGTTTCTTTGCGAGTGGACCAGGGCACTTCTTTGCGCTGTAGTTCTAGGTGGGCCCAGGGGGACCAGAAATACTCGATTTCTCTCTCCCATATCAGGTCACATCAGTAGGGCAACCGCCTGAGGAGGCCAAAGGTTCAAGTTGACAGTCTGGGTTGAGGGACACCAACCAGCGTTTGCCCGGGGACCACAGGGGCCCAGGGCGGTGCCGTCAGGCCCCAGGTTTGGCGCGCAGCCTTTTCTTCCCTTTTCCTCCGGGCAGAGAGACAAGTCCCACCGGCGTGGGAGGACCTTGTCAAACACGGACCACGGCGGTGGTGCCCGGGGCTGCCCCGTAGCGTCCCCACGTTTGCCAGGTTACCACATCGTGGGCACCCCAAGTGCTGATAACTCCTACTTTCAGGTGTTTGGCTTTGCCGTTTTAGTGGCTTTCTTTCGCAGCGCTCTGGCAATAGGATTTACTGGAGGTTTTTTTGTTTGCTTGCTTTTTAATGAGGAAACAGAAATGTTACTCGATATAGCGTTGACATAGTGCGTTAGAATATGCTGTTGCTACAGGTGGCTTATAATTAGGCCATTTGGATGCTTTGTTTTTTCAGGGATGGTGAAAAGCAGAGCTCACATAGGCCATTTCCTTGCTGAGGGAAGCCCTTTCCCCAAAATGGGGTGGGGGGGGCAGGGGAAGGGAGAGAATAGGAGTTTCTAGAGCTTTCCAAAATTAATGCCACCAGAAACTTTAAATACGA